CCTGTGCTTCCCCCCCTTTCCCATAGGACACCGCACAGGTACCCTCCCTCCTCCTCCTCCCCTCTTAACTTTTGAGTCGCGCAGCGTGCAGACAGCAGCAATGATTTTCATGTAGTTTATAGAAAGAACACTTTCCTTGTGCTGACTTCACTATTTCGGGAGCTTTGTTTTCGTACAGCAAACATCTGACCTCCTGTTTAGGAAAATCAGCCTCAGAAGTTTTGCTAAAAATAACAGCTATCAGATAAATCGACTTGTGACCTTGGGGTTTTTGCTTTTTGCCAACAGTATGCTCCCTCATATTCTGAGCTCTTGCTGCAAGCGCTGCTTTGATTGTTATAAAACAGAAATGGGTCAGGAGAGAATAACATTTAGTATTTCAGAATAACATCATCTGTTATAATCTGCCTGTAGATTGGCAAGTCACAGAGTAGATCACTCGACAGCACAGCCAAACTGGTGGGCTCTCCTGCAGCAGTTGTGCTTACTCCACTGTTAAGAAATTATTGGTAGAAACTTACAATTAGAATTTTTTTTCCCTTTTTCTTCAACGGCAACTTTGAACTACAAGCAAACTTTTATGGCAAAGTTTGTAAGCCAGTATAAATTACTGGAATTCCTGTAAAAGCAAAAAAAAAAAAAATAATACTGGCTGATGATCTGCCCCTATAGTTGTTCCACCTGGGTGCTGAGCCGTAAGATAGAGCTCTGTCTGTGCCTTCTGAGTTACACCACAATTAAGCAGTTCAAAGATTTTTCAAGTTAAAAGTTGGGTATCGCTAATGAGGTTCTAGTTTTCCTCCCTGTGCTTTTTCCTTGGTGATTGATAATCAGGAGGATGTATTTGGATGCATGTAAGAAGACAACCCCGCCGTTGACTAGGAGGTTTCTGCAGCGCCTGGCTCCAGCCCTGCGGACTGGCCAGGAGCAGAGCTCGGAAAGGGGAGGGGAGTTCTGCTCTCTGCAGGGCTTCACTCTCGTCACGGGCATGCTGCTGTGGTGTCACGATTAAAAAATGTTGGCTTTCCTTTTGCTGGTCAATGCAGCAAAATGATTCCTGACATTTCTGCTGTGTATTTTGGGAGGAATTGGTTTCCGTCTTGGACTGTGCTTTTAATTAAAAAAAAAAAAAAGCCTTCCATCTAAAGAGCTTAGTTAAGATTATATTTGTTTAATGTATTGGTTTGTTCAAGGAAATCTCAAAAAAGGATTAGACATGACTATTGAGTTTATCAAGCAGGCCTGTGTCTGTATTAGATTATAATTGTCTTCCATTCAGTTACTCAAATATTTTCCTGATCACTCATCGAGAATATTACATTTTCCCTTCTTCTTGTGGTTTCCTTTTGCTTCCTTGTGGCTGGAACTCTAATTTTTCTTCTGATAAAAACTTGTGGCTTTCATTTAGTTTGCTTACGCTAACTGAACAGCACACAGACACTGATATGTTGTCAGCTTAATAACTATGAAATAAATCTGTCCGTAGCACCTAAATACATGTGTGGATGTGGGTATACATAAGCATCAGGTCACAATGGTGTAATTAATGGCACTTAAGACCTGGATCTGGATACCTGGAACACAGTAACTGACAGTGGTTACTGTTCAAACATCATCATTGCCATCTTACTTACACCAGGGCTGCTGGAGTCCTGCAAGTGAGGTAGGGCAGGAGTCCTGCTTCTGAGCTCAGGCGAAGGGCTATAACCCATAAGGTCTGCCCAAGCCATTGGGAAACGCTCGTAGCGCTGAATGGTCACTGCAAAGGAAACTGGTTTTCATCACTCACTTGCACTCAGGCACTGGTGTGGGAGCAAAGAAAGGAGTGATACAGAAATTCAAGGGAGGGGGGGGGGGGGATCCAATAACTGGCATTTCTGTCGATCTAGAAAGGGACATAGACCTTGAGACCCTCCATGTCTGACTTTTAGGAGTCTTTGGCTCAAAAAGTGAATATCCTATTTTTCTTAGGGAAAAAAAAAAAGAGTCTGAGTGGAATTACCTAAGTATGATAGAAAATTTCTGGGATTGTGGTCCTCAAGCAATTGGGTAGAGCCAGCTCTAGTTCGTTCTTCCAGTCTCAAGCTGCTTCGTTTGTTCAGGGTTTTGAGGTTTTTTAGGACAGTGAGATATTGGATGAGTTTTGTGCTGAATTCACTATCAGCGTAGGTTAGGACTGATTAGAGCCTCGCTGCCAAATTATATGTCAGAGAGGACTGGGTATCTGCCCCCTGCCTAATTTATGACTCTCCATCGGGGTTAGGCGAGAAGCGGGTGCTGAGGTGCACAGGGCTGCCACGACAGCAGCAGCTGTGAGCATGCACAGTAGCAGAACCTGGAGAAATTTACTGGCAAAAACACTAGGAAAACTAACAACTTGGAAATAAGCAACTTTTTTTTTTTTTTTTCCTGGGACTGGCTTTATTATCAAATACTGTATCTTATTTTTTGCATGCTTTTGCATCAAGCTGTGGCCTGTGCAAGCATTTCAGTTTAGCGAAATGGAGCTATTTATGTCTTCTCTGTGTCATCAGTGATAATATGGAACAAGACCAGATATGAAATGAACGGCTGCTGTGTCTGGGAGGCAGACTCCAGACCTGTATTGATGTTCTTTGTTAATGAGTCAGGATTGCTGGACCGAGTGATACTATTGCCATTTACAGCAAAAGAAGTTGGACTGAGCTTTGGTGTACAGTTGACATGACACCTTTGCAATCCAGGGCAACTGCAGTTTATTTTAAGTCGCAAAGTTTTCAAAGAGCTTAGTTTACATGAACTTAGTTTAAATGAATAGTTTTCACCTATCACATTTTCTGGATTTCCATTTTTTCATAGATTTTGCATTCCCCCAAGAAAAAATCTTCATTCTTCTTTCCTTATACACTTGCCCTTCTTCCTCACCGTGTATTTATTCATAGCCAACAAGATTCCAAGTATGCCTTTCTGGATCAGTCCGGAGCTTTCTCATAAATGTATCACACAAATAAAGCAATAATATAAAATGTTGCATATTCCAGGGAAAGCAGATGTAGGAAATGAAATCATTGAGGAAAAAAACCACCTGGAAACAGAGGAAGATTTTTACTATGTTTGTGATACATAAAATCTGCTTAATGGATGAAGAATAGTATCTGCTTCATGCAACTTCATGCAACATTTTAACATATGGATACCTTCTGATCATCTTCCAAAGTCAGCTTGCTCAGACGAAACCAATATTTAAATGGATGGATTGGGCTTTGAATATGTAAAAAAACGATTATTCTCTTTAGGAGTCTTGTGCATTGTATATAGAATCGGTTTGGTGTTTAAGCTGATTGTGTAAAGCCACTTTACTGGGAAATATCAACAAAATTACCATTTTGATCCCACTGGTTCTTTTCTTCAGCATAAGCAACTCTGCAGCAAGTCTGCCCCATTTGTACTGCTCTTTGGTTAAACTACTCTTGGGATGCTCCGGACTGCTAGACTAAAAAGCTAGTGAAAGCTTTTATATAAAAGTAACTATATGGCATTTAATTTTTATAGCTCATAAAGATACTCAGAATTATTTGCTTTCTTCTTTAGTAATATTTGTTATTTTGGAAACCTTTGTTTTATACAGAGCTGTCATAAATAGACTCAGCAGCCAGTAAATCCATTGGGCCCTCCGCAGACTAGAAAAACATCTGCCTGTTCTGCTGTGCTCAGAACGGGCTCCAGAGATTCCCCTGACTCAGACAAAATGAGTAAATGTACTTCTTTGACAAGCTGAAGTAACCCGCTTCGTAAAGCATAATTCACTTCCAACCAAGTCTCCTCCCATTCCTACTTTATTCCAGCCTCTATCAGATTTTTCAGGATTTAAAAATTAATTTGCTTGCTTTACCTATGTTTAATAGAGTTTTTAAGCTGCGGACCTGGATGGTGTCCTGGTGCCTGCCCGTGAATGGCCTGTGACACGGACCTGAACTTCCTGTTGTTTGTGCCGAAACTGCTACGATTGTGTTTTTCGGTTTCACAAAAGGTGCTGAGCACCAAAAAAAAATATTGTAGCATATAGTGACAGGAGATCATCACCCCAAATTTACTCCAAATTAAAAAAAAAAAAAAGTTGTCATTAGTTACTTACTGTTCAGATGAGCTGAGTAATATTTTTATTTTTTGCTTTGGTTCTAAACAGTCAACTTGGGAAGGAGCTAACCCTTTTTGTTGCTTTTTTTTTTTAATTTATTGGAAGGATAATTGTTTCTTGAATGAATTTTTATTTGTGTGTTTTTTTAATTTAGTTTCTTGAACTTTGAGTACTTGAGGTGAGCATGGGAAGTATCCGTTTTCTGGCTGTGAGGGTGGGCGGGTCACTGCTGGCAGTAAAGACTTTTTTTAAAAAGCTAGAGAAAAGAAAGCTTTGACTGTTCAGAACTATTTTAATGCGTTCAGTGTTCTTTACAGACTGGAAGCGATGAGTACGCCAAGTTACAAGTGCAGATTTCTAAGAACACTTGGTACAGAATGATGTTGTGAACACTGGACTGCAAGAAGGTCTAAGAGCGGGTGCCTTTGGGGAATCTTGCTATAATAGCCATGAAAAAAAACCCACAAATGGACTTCTTTGTTTTAAACATAGCCCTCTTATGAGTAGATTGCTGAGATATAAGAGGAAGGTGACAAACTGAAGAATGAACTTGAAAGCGTTCTAGTGGGAAAATTCCATCTAGGCCCAATGAAGACTTTTGTTTCATTTTTAAGCATTAGTTAAATCATTTTCTATGACTGGTATTATTTCAGCAATCAAGGAACTGAATATCCTTTACTGCAGTTGAGTAAGCTCTGAAAGTCAATCCCTTGGACAGCTGAAGATGTCAAATAAATATGTAATCATGCAATCTGATTGAGTTTTAATGCTGGTGAGCAAACAGCTCAAGGGCTTAAGGAGTACAGCTATTCACCACGGCCTTATTTTTTTATGTGATACAGGCTGCGTTGCTAATCAGATGTGGTATGTTTCTGTCTTTCAGATTTACCACTGGATTATAGATTTACACGATTTTCAAATAGCTCAGCAACTGCCGGGTACTACCCAAGCCCTCCAAGAGAACTGCTGCCAAACGAGGAGTCAGTGACTATGAAATAGGTTGTCGGCTTTTTCCTTAAATAACCCTGTGGCTAAACTGCTATCAAATGCTAATTGGTGAAAATGCTGTGTGATGCTTCATAAAATAGAATGATGGATTAAAGCAGACTCCCGCGTAGACTTGTGTTTTGCTTGTTGCTCTAGTCCAGCTGGACCAGGCGACCAATGCCTCCTTCTCTCTAAATCTTCTGACCACCACTACCTTTTGCAAAGCGCTGTTGGCTTTTTCCATGCACTGCACAAAGCCTTCAAGAGAAATGTGCTAGTAATAACTCACCTCAAGTTACCTTCTACATTTTCAAGGACATTTTCAGTACTATCCCTATTTAAGGTGATGCTGTTGCTACTGTAAGCCCCAGGGAAGCCGTGAAACAGACCCTGAACCATATTTCATTAGGAGTTACCTTGGACAGCCCAGGTTATCACCATAGATCAGTGTTTTGCAGGCTTTATTCTCTCACTGTAACTGCTCTTGGAGATACAGAAAGACTGAGGCCCAAAGAGAAAGATGCATCATACCCAAAAAGAGACCTGAATGGGATTTAGGCAGCTAAACGCAGGCTGGCAGTCCTGAAAGCCTCTGTCACATGCTTCGTATTCCTGAAAGTGCCTAACCACTCTTCAACAGTAAGGTTCCCTACATGCCTCTTCCTCCTTTCGTCTTCAATACCTCAGGAGTCAGAGCTCTTCCGCAGAAGGAGGGAAACCCGTGCGCAGTTCCCTTCTCAGCTTGAGTGGATTCAAACCCATGTTCTCCACCTCCCTGGGCAACTCTTCCAAGAGCAGGAAGGGCATCGCACCCAGCTGTCTAGAGCCATCTTTGCTAAGTACAGCCTCAGCTCAGAAGAGGACCAAGACTGAAGACATAAACTGAATATGTGCTTTCTTATCGGCTCATTTAAGCAAATGGGCATCCTCTTCTCTGCAGATTCAGTCCCAAAGACCCGTTCTCCAGCGCTTTGGACAGGGGGCCAATGGTAACTAGAGCAGGGTAGCGGATGCAAAAACATGTCAAACATGTTTGAGTTAGAAGTTTTGTCACATTAGGATGGCAGAAGTTTTGGATAGATTTCCCTCAGAGTTTAAAGAATAATAAACAGAAGCTTTATTTTCTTGTTTTCAGGAAAACGAATTTACTTTCTTAGGCCTAGACCATTATCAGAATGGATTTAACTTGTGTTAACACTTAACTTGTGTCGCCACAGCTCGCTCTATATTTTTGCAGCTGCACCAGTTAAAATATTTTGTGTCAGAAACAGACACAAACACCATTCCACCTCATTCCAGAGATACCAGCTTTTGTACTTTTTTCCTACCTTTACATAGGATGTTATTTTTACATTCCTGTGGTCCAGTATACTTGCAAGTAATATGCAACATTTCCAGTTTAACATTAAGCATTGTTTTTTTGAAAGGGAAACGTAAAACAAATGAGGAAAAAAATTGAGAAAAACTTTCCTTAAAACAAGGTGGGTGAGGAAGGAAAATGGAAGGTACGTTCTCCTCGTTATAAACTATAGGCTGAAAGTATTTGACTTAAGAAGGTAACAATAAGTAATACTTGAATTTATTTTGAAATTTTTAAATTAGCATCAATGTCTTGGGTGGCAAGTCTGGCTCATGATAAGGGTATGATTTCTATTAAGCAGAGAGGTACCGAGATTAAAATCTCAGATCCCTGATTACAGCATCATTTGAAGTTCTAACCTGAATCAAATAATCCTCTGCAAATAATTTCTAAGTAGGTTATGGTCCAAACCAATACTGTGAACCCTCAGGCTTTTTTTTTGTTCTGAATTTGGATCTGGGTTTTGTAGGTAGGGGATTTTTTTTCTTGTTTTTTAAAGAAAATTGATGAAAAATGAATCGTTAAAGAAAATCAGAGTGAAAATTGTCACAGTAAGTCCTTGGTTCCTGGTATCTCAGTGGAGAAGCAGTATTTTTTCTAGTGGAAAGGTGACAGATTCTAAGGAGAGCCTGAACACAAAGGTCACCAGAACAAATACGTATACGGATCTGCTGAACTGGGAGGTGACTACCCGTTTCTGACGAAGGCTGTCACTAGCTGTTTGCACTTGCTGCTGGAAGGACCACACAGTAGCAGAGAAAGAAGTGGATAACAGAAGGCTACTGTAAGCATGGCTCCATGTGCCACCATGTGCTGCAGGAAGACTTAAGAAAAATAATTGAAGCATTTGCCCAAAAAACAGTGTTCCTGTGAAATCAGGACTTAATGACTCTTACTAAAAACTCTTCGTATTCAAGAATCTCTGAAAATTATACAGGTCTTATTACAAAGTGGAGGTTGGCAACTGAGGAACTTTAGGAAGGCAATCAATGCTGTGGCGATGGGAGAGCTCTTGGAAATGGAGGTGGTGTGAAGACCAGGGAGAAGAAATACACGTGGCAGAGAACTGCTAGAGAGGTGGCAGTATTTAACATGACACTGTAAAGACCCCATCTTTGCTTCTTCCTTCTTTCTCTTTATTTTTCTTAACCCCTGGAAATTTCTGAGGTTTCTTAGATTCTATTGTGAGAGGCCATTGTCAGAAAGATCACTGAAGTGCCTGCAAAACTATCTTGAGTATTGGCAGGGAGACGTAAAGTTATAAAGATTCATTAAAATCACTGTATCTGGTTATATAGCCCTGAAAGCCACAGTTTTACTTAAAACCAGAGATGAATACCAAGTCTCCTTTGGCGTCTGTTTTGGTATAAAGCACATGTGTCTGAATTTTAAAATAAAGAGAATTTATTTCTGAAACAAATAGATGTTTTGTGAATTTACTTTATAGCTGAGCGGCAAAAAGAAAAAAGGGAGACAAGGTCATCACGGAGCAGTGCAAGGAGAGGTTCGTGCTACAGCCTTGAACAAGGCAAAACTTGACCCACTCAGAATAAAAGATATGTAAATCAGCCAAAAACTGGTATAAATAAATACCTGTAACAAATTAGTAGCTTTAATACCTATAGGGTAGTCAGTTTTGATGCAAAGCAGGGCTCACTGCAAAGGTTTCCTGAACAGGGCTTGTTCCTGGAAACTAAAGGCTTCTTAATGTCCAGTGAGAGAAAGTTAAATAAACAAATGCAGACAGCTTATCCGTGGTGGACACGTGGCGCTGCTGGACGCAGGGCTTTCGGAGGCTGCTGCTTCCCCAGGCTGCTGGGGCTGTCCAGCTCCTCGGAGTCTCAGGTGTGTGATAGTGCAGCAGCGCTGGAGTGATTCCGAAGAGAATTCCCAGGAAAATGTGTCTGATGATAGGCACCGGGAACCCGCACTCCCAAAATCTGTGTTAAGAAGCAACCAGCCATTGTCCACCCTGGCATGACAGCCTTCCTAGGGAAAAAAAAAAAATCTATAAAATGGTGACAGGGTAACACAAAAGGGGGGGGTAGTACACGGATGTGCAGCGGGCAGATCTTTTGGGATGCAGAAGGGCTCCAGGGCTCCAATGTGGCTGGACTGCCCCTCTGGTGTCCTAGGGCTTGAGACACTGCATAACCACTGATCTCCGCTGTCCTCTCCAATGTCCCACAAGGCTCCAAATGTTATCTGATTTCAAATAAACAACCTTTAGCCCTGCCTGCATTGCCTAGCATTACATTTTATAGCAACAGTTGGCTATAACAACTGAAAGCAATACGATCATTTCACTACAAGTGAAAACCATGCATGCCATGTCCTCCTAGGTCCCATTTTTGCCAGCAGCCTTACAGGCTTTAGGGTTTTTAACAATCTTTTTGACAGATACTTTAGAAATTAAGAATAAATATAACATACCTCACTGAAAAACTGGAGATTGCTTATGGGTTGCTGTATTGTAAAATAGGGTGCAGTAAATCATCTGCCACACGCAATACACAATGCTGATCTTTATTTCAGGGAAAATAAATATAAACCCTGACCCAGCCCCAGATCATCGGCCCTCAACGCATCCTGGATCAGATCTGGCTACAGCCAGATCGGAAACCATGTGCTGACCCAGTAAAGGCTGGTTTATCAAATATCACAACTGAGATCGCTTGAATTCAAAACTTCACTTTCATTTTCCTGAGAAACAGTCATTCTCCTGTAGAAACCTCAGATTTCTTCTGACTAGAAGTCGTAATCTAACCTGAGAGAGGCATGCCCAGCACCTATTTCCCCAGCGAAACGAACGATTTTCAACATGGCCTTGGAGTATTTCTCTTTCCTGGGGGTGCATGGTCATATTTTCTAGCTATGTGTTACACTACACAATTTGTTATCATCTTTCTAACCGTCATTAGAGACGTGATTTTACATTTCTCACAGTGGCCTTGTTTGAAGTGTTTGGCCATGACTTGTCCAATCACATACCAACTAAATATTGTAGCTTCACCTTCAAGTCTTTCCTCCTGGGGCCAAGCATGCATTAAATCACACCAAGGCCAATGGCAGCAGAGTGTAAGAATATATAAATTAGCAGGGAGATGCCAACAGTGAGAAGGTGGAGTCTGAGCTTCCACGTCAACCTTCTTTTGCCACCACAGGGGACAATAATGCAGTAAGTGTAATACACACTGTTGTACACAACCTCGATGTTTCACAGCAGAGTTTTTCAGAAAGTCGGGTTTAGAAATAAAGTCATTTCTGTGTAAAACGGTAAAAGTCTCACACTCTACACTATACAGCGAGGGATCTGATAGGAAGATGTTGCTTCTGACTTCCCTGGCAAGGGGCCACAGCATGGGGCAGCCTGCTGCTCCTTAGCGTCGTGGAAAGATCAAGACAAGTTTTCTGGTACATTTAGGCGACTGACTCTTAAAACAAAATATGCCTCTTTCTGTTCACATGCTTGGAGGGAGATAGTATTTCAGCTGAAGCATAGCATCAGATGTAGGAGGGAAAGCACGTGGTAAGCTACAGGAACCTTATCTCTGCAGACGGTGCCAGCCATACTGGTATAATGGCTATAACGGTGTAGCCACAGACATCTATTGTTAACAACTGCTCACGAAACAGCCCTTCCAGCAGCCAC